ACTTCCGTTCGGTACGTATTGCTATACTGTATTTATAATATCATCACTATCATATCTTTGTTATACTAATTTACTAATACTAAAGACAATTTATTATATTAAATAAAGTATATTAATGGTGATGAACCTCTAATACATTTTCTCTAAATAATTTTAAACATTTTAAATTTGGTCGTAATATAAAGTTAGACCTTAAACGTTGCCAAAGAAAATATTTTATTTTATTCAATACTAAATAAAGTTTACAACAATAATAAAATGTGGAATATCAGTTACAGATTATAAAACAAATTAAGTTATGGCAGTATTATTTTCTCAGGATTTTTAAGACCATCAGAATTAGATTCTGAGTTTGAGTGAAATTCATCTTAGGTGGTGTGCATAAATAATGAAGACATTGCATATAATTCTAATGATAAATAATTATGTAGAAATTAATATAGTCGATTACTTTTGATTCAAATTATAACAACTTAAGCAAGAACCAAGAACCTATATTATTTCATGTGTTTATATGCTAGTATAGGCATTTAATTTTATTATTTCTGGGCTGACTTGTGATACGCTTATTACCTTATTGTTTATACATATTTTCCATTTTAATTTTGAGGTTTGTATACTCAAAGTCTCAATGAAGTTAGTGAGCAATTTATCGATTCCAAGATTTCGAGAGTTAGCAAACTTTATAAAGGATTCAAACTTTGTAGATTTTAATTACACGATTGCAAAACTTGCGTTCTCAAGGCGACATCAACGGAAAAGGCATATGCCCAGAACAGTTAAAATACTACTATATAAAGGTATTTATGTTATTTACAGTGGTGTGTATAAAAAGGAAAACATACACTCGACAAACGTATAACCTCGTGAGTGCTGCAATTTCTGTTTTCAGGTGTTGTATTTACGGCTCCTGGTGCGGGTCTAATAATGATTAACATGTATTATTGTTTAATTTCAGAACACTAAAGCAAGGACTGTGAAGCAAATATTTATTTACAGATCGTGAAGAATGCACTAGTCATTACGAAACTCAATAAATTCATAATATCAATATCTCGTACTATGTATAGTTTTCTCCCAAATTAACGGCAGGTAACGCCGAAACAGCGACGCCATTGACGATTAATGGACCTAAACGCCAATAAAATTAATTCAGAATAAGTTGCTCCATGAAACAGGAAGGTTATAACACTGAAAGACATTACAAACAAGTGTAGATCAGGTAGGTAATTAACTATTATAGACTACAGTATACTATATTAAATCAACTAACGTTATATGTTTATTAAAATGTTTACCTATTTTATACACACACCACTATTATTACCATATTACTTATATATATTAACATTTTAATTGTTTAAAAATTCAAATAGAAAATATATTAACTAAATTCCTAGATAACTTGACAGAAATGTTTAATATAACTTGTTCATTTAAAATATCATACTGTAATAAACAATAAATTAAGTTGGAAATCAATTGCGTCAAATAAATTATAAAATAAAATAATTGTTGGTTTGCTTAAATACATATAAAACATGAAATAATATTATAGTATGTAGGCGCATGCGCATTCAATACCGACCATTGTATCCGATATATGAAGCACGGATGGGTCCGTGTGCTTTTGCTCCACAAAGACGCAGGTGTGTTTGTGAAAATATCACAACTAAACAATCATATTATTATTTAATCAGAGATTTTAAACAGCAAAATTTCTGTATTTATCTCACTGATTTATCCATAAATTATTTTGATCAACCA